TGGAGTCCTCTGCCCTTCTTTATCACAAATGATAGGGCGTCCAAACAACATCTGCAAGCAATTCCATGGGAACATATGGCTAGATTACAGACTGTGGCCTATTAAAAATGCAACCTTACAATGACTTCTTTGTTTCTCTTCAGTGAGGTTGGACTCTAAGGGACTTTTTCCATGAAAATAAGAGACAATTGAGCCTGCTCCTGAAAAAATGAGGAGTCATTGGAAGCTTGGTGGCTGCAAAGTCAAGAGGGGAGTCAATTCACTCTTCATTTATGCTGAACTTTAAAGCAGGTGTTATTTTAAAGAGTTCAGCACTCTAAACAGCACCTTTGAAGCCTGGACTAAAATCTGGGGTGCACTTACCATTACGACAACAAAAGGGCCCTACATAATATGGGACCCCAAATCATGGGATGGTCTGGAGCTATGCTGCTTTTGGATTCTGCAGAGGTGTTTATACACTCTGCTTCCAAACTGTAGTAACGATAGAGTCCCATCTTTCCAGTCAGGCTGAATATAGATGGTCACAGAGCTCAGAAGAGTTCCTGGCTGTCGCAGCCACCTTTGCTGATGTTATCAAACATGCCTAGGGACACTTCCAGATAGTAAAAAAATGTGGGTTTAAAAAATGGGGCAAAATATCCCAGGATCTGACAACAAGTCTACACACAGACCTATCAGTACCAGGAAATGCTCCCCTGCCATCCTCACATCTTCCTTTGAAGTCAATCAAGATGGAGGGTAGACAGGGGACATCTGGTGGATGTTTTAAAAAAAGAAATCTCCCCAAGAAGTGCTGGACCCCATATGCACACATGTAGAGATCCTAATGTATGCACAATCAGATTTCTTATTCTTTCTCTTCACCCAATTATAAATTCAAAGTCTGTTTAATATTATAAACATTAGAACAAATGAATGGTTGCAGAGAGTTCTCATTGCTTTCCAACTGGGCCTAGATTGAGCCACCTGTGTGTTTGTGGCTCTATTTTTTAACAGCCCAATCAACTGTTTCAGGATTTTAAAACATGCATGTACGCTGGAGCAGTTCGCACCAGGAGATCAGAAGGAAGTCATGTCTCTTCCTTGACTGCAAGGATATACAGTCATAGGAAGGTGCACATTTTTTGACCAGCATCAGGTTTTAAGTGCACCTTTAAACACGTGCTTTTCAGCTGTTAAACTGATTTCACAAACATTCCCTAAACATCATTTAGCCAACCCCCCCCCCCCCCCCCCCCCCCCCCCCCCCGGCCGTTTTTTTAATTCCAGTTTCTTCTGGGATTTTAGGCATGTGTAGTAATCTGGAGAAGGGAGGACATGGGTGTCTTTGCTCTCCAGAGCTTCATGGCCACTCTGTGGACAAACAACAACTTAGGTATGTGCCACCCCCTTTCCCTGTATGACAGCGCACAAGAAAAATGGCACATGTGGACAACTAGAGCAGTTCAAGGTAGAGATGGCCTAACTCTTGATACCAACATTGAAATATGAATCTGTTCTGGAATTTAATGGAAACTACAAAGCATTTCCTAACGTCTGCTAACATGGGGTAAAACAGGTTCCACCCCTCAGTAGGAGTCAGAAGTTCCTGAGCATTGTTTGGACATCCAGGAGCAACTGATTCAAGATTCCGGCTTGTGTAGACATGCCTAGAGTCTTCCATGCTGTTTCGAATCCCCCTCCCCACCTAACCCAACAGCTGGAACAGATTTAAAAGAATGTAACGTATTTTAAAGTAGACAGCAAAAAAAAAAAAAAAGCTTTTCCCAAGTAAAGTTTCCAGACACCCCATTTTGTATAGTTAGTCCTCCCCAATATGACAGCAATACAAAATGCCCTAAAATCCAGTATTTTGTGATTTAGAGAGACTGGGTGGTATCTACATTCATGACACAGTGCCCACTGAGCATTTCATATGCAGTAAAATGGCCTCAAATTACAGGCCAAATGCTGCAGGAATCCACTGAATGCAAGTGTGACAGGTGTCCACGCTTCAGTCCCAGAAGTGTCATCCAATGGCCTGTGAGGCAGAGGACATTTGTAGACTATGGGGCATAGTTTGCCCATTCCTGCTTTGGAGTCTCAAAGCTTCCCATATTGTTATGTTGATAAGTCTCTTCAAGACATTTCTGATTGAAGGAGATAGTAAAATAAATCTAGCATGGGATTGTCTGAACAATATGCTAATCAAGGTGGTCAGTTGAAACATTCCCACCTAGCTCCAGCAGACAAGAGTCCTTTGTCCCACCCTAGTCATTCCACAGATATATAAACCTTTTTTTCCTAGTTCCAACAGACCTCACTACCTCTGAGGATGCTTGCCATAGATGCAGGTGAACCGTCAGGAGAGAATGCCTCTAGACCATGGCCATATAGCCTGAAAAAAACTACAACAACCCACTGTCTGATCACTTAATCACTTAATCCAGTGGTTCTCAACTCCCAGAAATCCTAACAACTGGTAAACTGGCTGGGATTTCTGGGAGTTGTACGCCAAAACACCCGGGGACCCACAGGTTGAGAACCACTGGATTAAGTGATTCCCCATCTTCTTCCTAGTGGGACAGGTAGCTGTGTTGATGTCAGAACAGGGTGATGACCAGGAGCTCACACAGAGCTTATTTTCCTTCATATCCACACTGTTGTTGTTATGTACTTTCAAGCTGACTCTTAACTTATTTTTTTAGATCAATAGACGTTCATGCCCTCATCTCCCAGGATCTTAGTCCAACACTAAAGCAACGCTGCCTCTTTTTAATTTAATAAGACTTGAATTAAGAGGAGTGAGTGTCTGAACAGCTGCATGTGCCTTGTGTTTCCAATTGCTCAAGGAGCTAAAACACAATGGCTAAGGAGGAATGAGAACGCACTTCTGCTTTCCATAAAAGTGGGGAATGTACAATGCCATTATCTCAGTTAAAAAGGATGTTTCTCCCACTTCTACACCATTTTAAATTAGAGGAATGCAAACACTGGTTTTGTTCATATTCAGTCATGTTGTTACACAACTAAAACTGACTGCCTATGTGTGGCATTGTGATATCACTCCATTCCTCCATGTGGCTCCCAGTTGACCAGGTCTACAGGTGGAAATACTCAAGCAAAATAAATGACTTCAAGTGCAGCACTGTGCGCATGGAACAGCTTCCATCTCCAAATATTTTTCCAGGGGAAAAATAATGTGCTGTTTAACAGACATTAATCTTAACAGCTTTGGTCTGACTTTCTTTTTATGGCCAGGGCCCAGAAGGTAGTGCTCATCCAGAAGTGCAAAGCAAACTTGTCTATAATCATTATTCCTGTGTGGGTTCATTAATAATTTCTCAGATCATTTAATTACACATACATAATTAACAACGGGTTATTCACAGCACAGAAGTAGATACAAAACATGCAGCAGCTGCCATTAAACCAACAAATGTAATTCGGTGCAATGCAGTGGTTGGGAGAGTGAAGGAGACTTTCTTCAGGGGATCTTTTCCACACTGAGTTGTCCACAAAATAGCCCTCAAAAACATAGAAAACCCTGGGAAAAATTCCTGTAATGATTATTACCTGAGTAGATGGCAACTGGCTAGGACTATGGGGTTTTGTTGTTGTTACATGTGAATCACGATTCATTCATTTATTATTTATTTGCAGTATTTATATTCTTCCCTTCTCACCCCAAAGGGGACTCAGGGCAGATCACAATGCACACATACATGACAAACATTCAATGCCGTTTTTGACATACAAGACATACAGACAGATAGAGGCCATTCAGCAGTTCTTCCATTTCGGATCCTGGAAGCTGCTCAATTCGGCCAAAGGGGGAGCTGTCACTTCATCCACTATGACACTGAGCCTTTCGATTGTAGCATTTTCTCTTTGCTCTCCGGCATTTTTATGGTGTCATAAATTAACCTCCCCGCTTTGAGCGGTCCCTAATTTCTCTACTCAGCTGTTTTCGAACTGCTTAGGTGGACAGTAACCTGGGCTATTTTTAACAGCTATTAACAGTCGGGCGCTCAACCCCGACTGAGGCTTCGAACTTGCCACCTTTCTGTTGGCAGTGATTTATTGCAGGTGATTAACCAGCTGTGCTACCAGCCCAATTGTGTCTTAAAACATACTCAGTATTTATACACTCCATTTTCCTTCAATCCCAGTCATCCTAGCTTTGGCAAAGTTTGATGGGAATTATAGTTCACCAATATCTGGAGAGCCACAGTTGCCTACCCAGTGACACAACACATGGGATCCTTAACCATGGTGGGAAACCTTTCCTTCAGAGAAGCTGAGGCACCTTTTACACTGCCGCATAATCCAGATTATCACATTATCTGCTTTGAAATGGATTATATGAGTCTACACTGCCATGTAACCCAGTTCAAAGCAGATAATCTGGATTTTATATGGTAGTGGAGAAGGGGCCTGAGCCAGTGCAGAACTTTGGAAGGTAAGGCTACAGCTTTTAGATCCAGAGGCCCAAGTCTGTAACAGAAAGACTAACATTTTCAAGCTCTTATCCAATGATACTGAACTTCTCACATTGTTGCACATAGAGCTCAATGAACCTCCAAGGAACTATGTGGTTCCCCTCTCACTCATTCGCCTAATAAAAGGAATTCCCTTCTTTCAGGCTCACTTGCGGATATATTGAGTAGTTTGTGAATGGAACATATAATGAGAAATCCAAAGCACAGAACATGGATTTCAATAGAGACACCGCCTGTAGTAATTTGGTTTTGAGGAAGATGAAACCTAATTTGAACTATTCTCTGAGACAAAAATAATGTCTGAGCTATAAAAAAACTTACTATGAATCCCATTATAATTAATTTGACTAAGCGTTATGTTAATCTCTTAATGCTATGAAACACTTCTCTTCATTATGATTGTTATACATCAGCATATTCCTGCCATAGTATCCATATCTGTTTTGCTGCAAGAAACAGAAAATTGAGCTAAAACACACCCATCAGTCAAGGAAAGGCATTAGGAGTTGTACATACCTTCAACACAGTGATGTTCCACGCAAAACTTTCAATGGCTTTGCTGAGCTTTCTTCCTTTCAAGCCCTCTTTTGTTCCCAGGTTATGAAGTTCTTCATGAAGGTGCATTGCTAATCAAAAAAATGTGTGGTAAAAGGAAGAAGATGTCTTTCAACAAATCACAAACAGAGTAAAATACATACATGTTAACTTTGCTCCATGAGACTTTATACACACACAGTAACTATGCAGTAACTATCTTGCTCAGGACTTTATCCCATATGCCCCCCAACACATTTCTAACCATTTAAAATCCATTGAGGGTACTATTTATAACAGAGAGCCCTCCCCATGACATGAGGAGAACTTCCTGTCAGCATCCATCATGCTTTGTTAGGGAAATGTCTGAACCACTCCAAAAAAAAGCAGGGGGGGGGGGAGAGAAGAGTGACCATTCACCCCATTTCTGTTTGTTCCACCTACACTGTTACCCCTATGATGCACTTTCTCCCGTCCTAAACTGAAAGCCTAACCCCACTGTTCATCCTCTCAAATGCACTTTTTCTACTCCTTCCTCATCTAGATTTTTAGTATTTTACCTTGTCCATGTGGCCCACTCATTGTGTTCAATTTTATATTATGTTATTTTGCTTTGTTTACTCTATTTTGCTATTGTGTGTATTTTATTGTGATGTAATTTTTGTTGGTTTTTTGTTGTTGCATTTTGTATTTTATTTTGCTGTATTGTATTTTCAGGCTTGGCCTCATGTTAGCCACCCCGAGTGCCCCTTGGGGAGATGGTGGTGGGGTATAAATAAAGATTATATTATTATTATTATTATCATCATCATCATCATCATCATCATCATCATCATCATCATCATCTCCTCAACTCAGGAATTGGGATCTGGAAGTTAAAGGGGGAATGTATATAATATGTGTGCTTTACTGACGTTGATATCTCGTGTTTGGGGGACACCCAACCATAAAATTAGTTTGATTGCTACTTCATAACGGTCCTATTGCTGCTTTATGAATCGTAATGTAAATATCTGATATGCAGGATGTATTTTCGTTCACTGGACCAAATTTGGCACAAATACCCAATATACCCAAATTTGGCACAAATACCCAATATACCCAAATTTGAATATTGGTGGGACTGGGGGAGGGTATTGATTTTGGCCTGTGGGAGTTGTAGTTGCTGGGATATATAGTTCACCTACAATCAAAGCGCATTCTGAACTCCACCAACGATGGAATTGAATCAAACTTGGCACCCAGAACTCCCATGAACCAACAGAAAATACTGGAAGGGTTTGTTGGGCATTGACTTTGAGTTTGGGAGTTGTCATTCACCTACATCAAGAGTGCACTGTGGACTCAAACAATGATGAATCTGGACCAAACTTGGCACGAATTCTTAATATGCCCAAATGTAAACACTGGTGGAGTGTGGGGAAAATATACCTTGACATTTGGGAGTTGTAATTGCTGGGATTTGTAGTTCACCTACAATCAAAGAGCATTCTGAACCCTACCAATGATTGAATTGGGCCAAATTTCCCACACAGAACCTCCATGACTAACAGAAAATACTGTGTTTTCTGGTAGTCTTTGGTGACCCCTCTGACACCCCCTCGTGACCCCTTCAGGGGTCCTGACCCCCAGGTTGAGAAACACTGTCCTAGAGTAATACGAAGGGTGCCTTATTTTTAATTGCTAGGATAGGATTTGTTGTATATAAATGTATATACATGTGGAAATGTATACATATGTGTATGTATGGATCTAACATATATATATGGAGTTATATTTCTCATGTATTGTTGCTGTTTGTCTATAGATTTGTTGTGTCCAGCCTTTCACTAATAAAAAAATGAATTGCAAAGGAATTGGGATATAACTGCAGAAAACACCCAAAACCACGTGGGATAGAAGCTGTCAAGTTTGCCCGTCGAAGCACTTCAGTGACGTTGAGTAAGGGTTGTTCCTATGGGCAGTCTGCTTCCAAGCATTGACATTACTCCCCCAAAATCCCAGTTCATGAGCCTAGGATGGTAATTTTCTAAAGTCATAGTGGCAACTATGCAGAGGCTAGGGTCAACATCTCTCCATGCAATTGGCTGCACCCCAGCCAAAACACAATAAAGTATTTACCCCCCCCCCCTCCCCCACATCACAACATAAATGGTGACCAGAAGTAATAACAGATAGTTTCTGGTTACTATTTTGATTGAAAAAAGGACAATAAAGAAAGAATGTTAGAAAACTGAGGTTTTAGGGAGCATAACCTTATAGAAGGCGACTTGTGCATAGTCATGCTTTGGTCGTGATTGAAGTGGGTGTCCTTCAAAAATCACATCCAAAATTGGAAGAGGAGCTCAGGATCCCACTGCTTTAGAGTGGTTACTTTAGGAGAAGGTGTTGATTACTGTATAAAAAGGATTCCCGCAATAAAGGGAATAAGGTAAGAAAATGATGTTAGCTCAAAGAGAATGGATTGGCTCCTCTTCCCAGGGCTTTCTCTCCACTGTTTTGAAGAAGTTATGAAAGGGAACTTGGGGAAGAGACTCTCGGCATGCCTAAACAGCAGCTTTAATAGTTTGGTGGTTACTCTTTGGAGGCTCTTATTCCCTCCAAAGTACATCTCAAGGCTGTTGTGTGGAGGAAATGATGTGTAAGCAGATAGGACCTTAGAGGAAACTGCTGTATTTAGAGGAACTGCTGTCCTGAAATGGTGGTGTCTTGTCGATTTTTACCCAATTTCCTCCATGCAGTGAGATGAAGACCAACACATGTGAGGAAATGGAATATGGTATAATAAGTCCCCGAGGTCCAGTAACGGAACGACCTCCAGGAAGCTCCATTGACCCATTTGTTATTTCTGCTTGGACATAGTCATAGAACTACAAAGTGAGGGCATTTTGGTATAGATGAATTAGCCAACTGACAGTCACAGGCATTCAGAACATATTATGGACAACATTGGTCAAAAGCAATAGAAAAATCATGATATGGAGTCATTGTTGATTTGTCTCCCTGTCAACAATTCTTCTTCCTAGGGTTATAGCTGTAAAATTATGTATTTATTTGAGATCTTAAGAGTCCTCATGGACAATAAGTTAAATATGAGCCAACAATGTCATGTGGCAGCTAAAAAAGCCAGTGGGATTTTGGCCTAAATAAATAGGAGTCTAGTGTCTAGATCCAGGGAAGTCATGCTACCTCTGTATTCTGCCTTGGTCAGACCACATTTGGAATATTGTGTCCAATTCTAGGCACCACAATTTAAGAGAGGTGTTGACAAGCTGGAATGTGTCCAGAGGAGGGCAACTAAAATGATCAAGGGTCTGGAGAACAAGCCCTATGAGGAGCAGCTTAAAGAGCTGGGCATGTTTAGCCTTCAGAAGAGATGGCTGAGAGGAGACATGATGGCCATGTATAAATATGTGAAGGGAAGTCATAGGGAGGAGGGAGCAAGCTTGTTTTCTGTTGGTCTGGAGACTAGGACGTGGAACAATGTCTTCAAACTACAAGAAAGGAGATTCCACCTGAACATTAGGAAGAACTTCCTGACTGTGAGAGGTGTTCAGAAGTGGAACTCTCTGCCCTGAAGTGTGGTGAAGGCTCTTTCTTTGGAGGCTTTTACACAGAGGCTGGATGGTCATCTGTCAGGGGTGATTTGAATGTGATTTTCCTGCTTCTTGGCAGGGGCCCATGAGGTCTCTTCCAACTCTATGATTCTATGAGAGCCAGTGTGGTATAGTGCCTGAGCGTTGGGCTATGGCTCTGGAGAACATGATTCAATTCCCAGCTCAGCCATGGTAACCCATTGGTAAATGTTTGCGAATCAGATGCTGTCAGCCCACGTTAACTTGAGGGTCACCATAAATTGGAAATAACTTGAAGATACAATATATTTATTTATGACTATATAGAAGATATTGGTCATTGTTCAGAACTCTAGCAATGGAAGAGTCACGGGGGAAACAACATTTAGTTTAATTCAGTTGTGCCTGTGGAAATTCTAAATATTGATTGCACTTAAACAAATTCAAGCCTTAGTTACGCAAGCTTCATCTCATACAGTTGTTATAGTGATATTAATCTAGTTAGTAAAATGCTATTAAGTCACCTTAATCAAGGCTTTAATGAAGTAAGCAAGTCTGTGAAAGAGATTTCTGCTGCCTAAACTAATCAAAAATCAATTTAATTGAAACAGATGCTAGTTTCTCACTGAGGTAATCTCAATTACTTCAATTAGATGTAAAATACAAAACACACTCACACAATGGAGCAGCATAATGCCTTGCTCCATCTTGATGGGTCAGTGACATTTCTTGGTTTCAGAGGATAGAAGAAATTATTCAAAATCTTAATTTCTTAGTTGACTATCCCCCCCAAAAAAAAAGAATTATAATATCAGCTGCTAAACTGAAATGCAGAAGCAGAATCAGAGACTCTTCTATATGAAATTATTTAATTTTCTTGTATTCTTGAATTGCCTTGTCTTGTCAAATGCTTTTAAGCAGTGTTGGACCATGTCTGCTGAAGTTGCACAGTTTGGAAAGTTGTTCTCAAGAAAAATGAAAAAATGTTTGGACACATAAGCAGTGAAAGGATGATTGTCTGAGATACAAAGCATCTGTTTGCCTTCAAGTAATTTCTGACTTATGGAGACCCTAAAGTGAATTGATTTGGGATTTTATTGGCCGGGTTTGCTCAAAGGGGTTTGCCTTCCTCTGAGGCTGAGACAGTGTGACTTGGCCATGGCTACCCAGTGAGTTTCTATAGTAAAGCGAGGATTCAAATCCTGATCTTCCAGTGTCCTAATCCAACATTCAGACTACTATGCTACATCATCCTACCGCTATTCATCTTTGGGTAATTTTATTTGTTTGTTTGTTTGTTTGTTATATTTATTTATATCCCGCTTTATCTCTCCAAAGCAGACTCAAAGCAGCTTAAGATAAAAATGCTAGCATAAAATTTAAAATATACAAATATGCAAATATTAAAACAAAATTAAAATTAAAGAGTATTAAAAATTTCACAGTTAAGAACCCTTAAAAAATTCAGAGTTAAAAACCATAACACCCCCTGAACTGATCTTTCAAACCTTTAGTATTTCAAAGTTCTGGTGGCTGTAGAGAAGGGTAAAAACGTCATACAGTAGAGTCTCACTTATCCAACAAAAATGGGCCGGGAGGATGTTGGATAAGCAAAAATGTTGGATAATAAGGAGGGATATTAAGGAAAAGCCTATTTTCCTTAATCCCTGCATTATCAAATGCAGTCTGCCTCGTGCCTGGATCCATTGCGATGTTTTGGTGCTAAATTCATAAATACAATAATTACTACATAACGTTACCGTGTATTGAACTGCTTTTTCTGTTGATTTGTTGTAAAACATGATGTTTTGGTGCTTAATTTGTGAAATCATTATGTAATTTGATGTTTATTATGATTTCACAATTTAAGCACCAAACCATCATGTTTTACAACAAATCAACAGAAAAAGCAGTTCAATACATGGGAACGTTATGTAGTAATTATTGTATTTACAAATTTAACACCAAAACATCGCAATGTATTGAAACAACTGTGGATCCAGGCACGAGGCAGACTGCATTTGATAATACAGAAAGTTGGATGAGCAAAGGTTGGATAAGTGAGACTCTGCTGTAATGTCCCATGTGTGATGAGATTTCGCCATTGTCCACTTGTAAACGTAATGATAACGTCATTCTGGAGGGAGAGGAAGAGAAGGACAGTACAGATTCCTTTCTTCCGCTATTATCTTTTTGGGACTGAGGGGGGAAGGAATGGTAATTCATATATTTTTTTGATGTGATCTCTCGTTAAAAAATACTCCCGCGAGAGAAAACAAAGAGGATTTTTTCTATCAGAAGGAAACAGGGGAGGAGACAGGATGAGGAGAAATATGTCTCCTTCTACTGTGTGATGGGAAGGCAAATGGATAATTTGAAAAGAAAGCAGAAGGAAGAAAAATGTGTGATAGAAGTAGGAAAATCATTCGTTTAATTTCCAAACAGACTGTTGGGAAGCTTAAGGGAAAAACAATGATCCCCAATGCTTTACTTATCACGTGGGATGAAGTCCTCACAAGTGAGGAGACATCAGGACTGTGGCGCAGCTGGCTGAGAGTCATCTGCATTAAGAGCACTACTGACCAAAAGGTCATGAGTTTGAAGCCAGCCCAGGCCAGAGTGAGCTTCCAATCGATTTGTGTAGCTTGCTGTTGACCTTTGCAGCCCGAAAGACAGTTGCACCTGTCAAGTAGGAAATTTAGGTACCGCTTATGCGGGGAGGCTAATTTACAATGTCACAAAAATCTGCAGCAAGCATGCAAAGAATGAGGAAGTACTTCATCAGTGTCACAAATGGATGGTGAAGGGACAGCTCCCCTGGTGGCCAGAATACCCTCATGATAAAGCTGGAATGTTAAACAGCCTCTGTGTCTGTCTATATATGTTGTGTGTCTATGGTATTGAATGTTTGCCATGTGTATGTGCATTGTAATCCACCCTGAGTCCCCTGTGGGGTGAGAAGGGCGGAATATAAATACTGTAAATAAATAAATAAATCCTTCCATTTTCTGACTTTTCCCTTTCTTACCTTTAAGACAGTGGTTCTCAACCTGTGGATCCCCAGGTATTTTGGCCTACAACTCCCAGAAATCCTAGCCAGTTTACCAGCTGTTAGGATTTCTGGGAGTTGAAGGCCAAAACTTCTGGGGACCCACAGGTTGAGAACCACTGCTTTAAGGCATAACTCATTGAATGTAGTATACACTCACTCTTCTGGAAAAATAGAATCTTGTATCACTAAACTTGGTAGCAAAACAAACAGATCTGAAAAAATCCTCATCCCCAAAGTCTCCTCAACATAATCAAAGAAGGTTACCTGCTTTCTGGCATTGGACAATCTTGTCGTGAACGGTGACTGCAGTTTCGATTAGCGATTTGTTCTCTTGAATCATCTGTGTGAGAATAAAAATAACAACAAAAAGGTTACTTATTTTACCATCTTTTTCTGTTTTTCTCTTCCTCTTCCTCCCTCAGGCCCAGAATTTTTACTCAACAATGTAACACCATGTTTGTAAGAAAAATTTAGCCTGTAAAAAGTGCCTCATTCTATCATAAACCAAATGAAAAATGATAATAGAAACTCAATGGGCATTTGTTTTATGTCATACCAACATGATTTTGACAGCTTGAGGGAAACATAAATTACAGCATCAGCTAAAAATGGAAGCAAAAAACAAATACAAACGTATGGCTGTCACAATCTGGGGTGTTTTCAAATGAGCAAACACAGTTGTGTCTCTACTAACAGCCCTGAACCTGCTTAAGGGCAGAATCCAAGGTCTGGATGTCCACCAGGAGTACCGCAACCACCAGCCGGGAAGATATTCCTTCCCCGCCATGTCTCTCAAATCTGCTCCTGAAACTTGGAGCACATATAGGAAACAGAGAGAGTGGGGAGAGGAACCATAGCAGGGATGAAAACAATAGGAAGTCCTACTGTGGGAGTGGATATCCACTCACTTGCTGTTGGATGTCACTATTTGGCAGTTGTTATAACAAAATAAATAGACTTCCAAGTACAACTCAAGGGGTATCCATCAAGGACTGACATGTCATGTGTGATGCACTTCTGTGCCAACTCACAATTCTCCAATAATGATAAAGAATACGGGTAGTGTGGCTATGCCATTGTTTCTAGTCTGTTGAAAGCATAGATAAGTATGAAATGCAATCAGGTTCACACCCTTACATAATGCATGGTGTGATGGAGTTGAGGTTGGGGAGGGAAGAATTCTTCCTTGCAACAGTGCCAGAATAGACACTAGTAATGCTACCACTGACTTGCTAAAGGTGCACCTGGGGACCACTGAACATTTTCTATATTGTATGTCAAGAATAGGAAGATGTAGCTCTTCAGATACTGTTGGACTGCAATTTCCTTTTCCCTTCCACACTGGCTATATTCCCTAGGGCTGATGGGAGTTGCTGGACTAGTTCTCACCCTGTTATGCTTGAATTGACCCAATTTTCAATACATATCAATTGTTTTATTTATTATACCTTGCCTGTTAGCAAAAAACATAATTAGAACATTTGCAGTCAATTTATTCAGAGACAGCCCATTAACTTAACAGTGATGATTATTTTTAATCAAATAGAATACAGAACTATTTCTGATAACAACTCCTATCAATCTTGGCCATTAGCAGTTGTAATTCAAAGTATCTGAAGGCTACCAGACTGAAGAAGATTGTGCAAAATTATTTTGGAATGTGACATATCCAAGTTACTTTGCAATCAAGGTAGAGGACTAAGAAGATGCTCACAAAATATTGAAAAAAGTAGTTTGGGATATTTGTGGTTACTGGGTGGATCCAAATTTAATCATACCTACATAAGACTAAGTGAAATCAATGAAGTATACCTATTGAAGCAAAAGCACCACATATTTCAATTGGTCTTTTTAAATATTGATGTAATCCAAATTGAACCTATCGTCCTTGCCTGCCTCGGGTCAGTTTATCTATTTGTGTACTTTCCATTCATAGTATCTCCAACATTAATTGTATGCGTACTCACACTCCTAATACATTTTGTTACATGAAAAAGAGTTATTTGAATGGTGACAAATCAGAGTTTGTTTTATTTATCGTGTCAGAAGCAAACTGAGGGTACATTTATAATATATTTTTTAAAAACACACGAACAAAGTTAAAAACTTGGCATTATACTGGATTTCCTTTGACCAAAAGATGGCCACTTGGAGTGCCTCTGGTGTCGCTGTGAGAAGGTCCTCCATTGTGCTTGCGGTCTTCTCCACACCTGCATGTCATGGACTCTACTTTTTAGCCCAGTGACTTTACATAACCTTAAATTCAATTATTTAGGTCACATCCCAAGTTTTAAAGACCGTAGTTGTGACAATGTTTGGTGGTTGATACAGTTAAACAGAAAAACAAAAGCAGGCACAACAAAAGTTCCCTTGTCTATTACAATCTCTAGATATGTTAGACTACAAGGGAACATTGGAAATTGTAATTTGACCTATCTGGAGAGCACCAGTATTATAAAACTGACATCTTGTTTTAGCGACCAGTACGAAAGTGCTTAGTGTCCACATGAGTAGCACTCCAAACTGTCAAAAACATCCAAGAACTACCAAACTCAACAGGACACAGAATTGCAGAGATTCATAGAAATCTGTGTTAGTTTAGTAAAAAGATGCATAAAGGAAGTCATCAGCTCTATTCAGAATAACTCAAGAATAAGCTTTCATATCACCAGATGCATTTTTATGTAAAATAGATCAGTTAGTGTGAAAGGTGCTACTGGATTATGTGTGTATGTTATAGAACAGGAGAGATAGTCATAGGCCCCCTGGTGGCGCAGCAAGTTAAACCGCTGAGCGGCTAAACTTGCTGACCAAAAGGTTGGCAGTTTGAATCTGGGGAGAGGCTGAGCTTCCACTGTTAGGCCCAGCTTCTGCCAACCTAGCAGTTTGAAAACATGCAAATGTGACTAGATCAATAGGTACCCCTTCTGCGGGAAGGTTAACAGTGCTCTATGCAGTCAAGCTGGCCACATGACCTTGGAGGTGTCTATGGCCAACACCGGCTATCAGCCTAGAAATGGATATGAGCACCACCTCTCAGAGTTGGACTAGACTTAATGTCAGGGGAAACCTTTACCTTTACCCCAGTCTCCCTTTCTCAGATATTCATACACACCTCTTTAAACCTCAGAAAGATTACAGTGCTTTTAAAGAGAAATTAATTACACCTGAATTTTCCTTCTACAGCCCAAACCAAATGATGTTTGCAAACAGGCAACGTGAATTGCAATCAGTGGTGTTTATTTTTAAGCAAATATGCTTAATGTTGTATTGTTTAGCTTCAACTAAATGTGTATTTACTAAGCAATACATTACTTGTTTCTGGATAAACACACACTGAACCAGTTTGAAAGTCACCTGAAGTCCTGACTTTCAAGGACACTTCTGAAAGCACTTGAAAAGCTTATACATGAGCTAGGTTTCCCTATTGTTAATATAATATGGAACTACTTTTTTTTATTTAGCGCATCTTGACAAAATAGAATGTATCTAAATAATTCAAGTATAACAAAACACCCCCTAAAATCCTACTGTAAACTGGGAAGGACAAATCCAAGCCCACACAATCCAATCTTCATACACTGGAACATGTGGTCACATATTGGTCCTATCTCTGGGCCCTCAAAGGTATCCATGATGTCCAACTAACCAGCCAAAGACTGCTGCATAAAGCAGACCAGCAAGCAAGTACATAGCACCCAGTGTCTAACAATATTTTATGCTTCTGAGGCAGATATTAGATGCCCAATACCATGTTGCCCCCTCGCACCACCCTAATCTGTTCTCTAGGCTGAACGTATGTGGCTCTTTCAGATATTCGTCACAAAACCTGGTTTCTAGACTACTTATCATCAAGTTAATCACACTTCTCTGAATATTTTGCTGTTTTTCTATCCCTTTTAAAATGCAGCATTCATAACATAATACTGTACTCAATATTGACTAGGAAATCAAACTGGGAAAAATAAGGGGAGCCTCACTCAGCCCATTTTCAAACCCTATGCATCCTTCATGCCCATTTTTTTTTCAAAACCGAAAAAATCAGATGGTCACCTTTGGTTCTGAAAAAATGTTTCTTAGGCCATTCAAAAAGTAAAGGGTCCAATGGAACTTAATATAATCCTAAATTTTTTAAATATATTTTTTGTGTCAGGAGTGACTTGAGAAACTGCAAGTTGCTTCTGGTGTGAGAGAATTGGCCACCTGCAAGGACATTGCTTAGGGGACGCCTGGATGTCTGATGTTTTACCATCCTTGTGGGAGGCTTCTCTCATGTCCCCGAATGGGGAGCTGGTGCTGACAGAAGGAGCTCAACCTGCTCTCCCTGTCGGTCAGCAGTCCTGCCAGCACAAGGGTTTAACCCAGGGGTCCTGGGTTAATCTGAAAGAAACATGAATGAATTGCTATGCACACTGCACATATCTTAGTGCAAAAAACATTTAAAAACAATACAATAATTAAAATGAAGAACAAATATAAACTTATTAGTATTTCAATGGAAAGTGTGGACCTGCTTTTGGCTGATGAGATAGGATAGTTGTTTTTGTTGTGTGCTTTCAAGTTTTCAGACTTAGGTTGACCCTGAGCGAGGGCCGGGTAAATGACCTTGGAGGGCCGTACTGGCCCCCGGGCCTTAGTTTGATGACCCCTGGTTTAACCCATTGCACCACCAGGGCCTCCTAGTCCTAAAATGGGAGAATATTAATCCCCAACGTCTTCTGAGATATGAACCTTCATTTGAAATACCATATTTTTCCAGCTATGGGAGGTTCAAGGAAACCTGGAGCACATTAGACGGTTTACACACAGCTCCAGGTGTATACTGTGATCTTATAAACTGAAAAGATGTTGGGGTAGTTAATGGAGTAGGCCAAGGCTATTGGGCCGTTTGACCTTCTTTGGGCGATGAAAATGCTTCTAAAGTGCTGATGTTGAGTCCAACAAGTCTGAGGAAATATACACAATGCACTTTATCCTACATTAAATGAAGACTAAACTCCACTGCTCCTCCTTCTCAGGCTCCTCCTTTACAAATACACTTTTATATTTCCTATCTCACCCAGGGTTTTAACGTTTTTAACATTATCTTGCACGTTTGGCCTGCCCTTTGTGATTGATTTTATTATGTTATTTTGCAATGTCTATTTTATTTTGTTACATTATGTATTTTATTATATTTAATTTTCTTTTGTTTTGTATCTTATTTCATTGTATTGTTTTTGGGCCTGGACTCATGTTAACTGCCCCAAGTCCCCATTGGGGAGATGGTGGCAGGATATAAATAAAGATTATTATTATTATTATTATTATTATTATTATTATTATTATTATTTGAAACACAACAAGATGAGTCCACAGCAGACACTCTGCTGGCTGTTGTATTGGATCACACGTCGGACACTTCCCAGGTGTCTAGGACTGTGTGATGTATCGGCGAATAATGCGTGCAGATCCCAGTAAGGTGGCCTTTTGCAGCTGGCAGATGGTAATTTTGTCAGCGCCGATTGTGTTTAAGTGCAGGCCAAGGTCTTTAGGCACTGCACCCAGTGTGCCGATCACCACTGGGACCACCTTGACTGGCTTGTGCCAGAGTCTTTGCAGTTCGATCTTTAAATCCTCCTATCGTGTCAGCTTTTCCAGTTGTTTCTCTGCAATCCTGCTGTCACCTGGGATTGCAACATCAACGATCCATACTTTGTTTTTTAACACAATTGTGAGGTCAGGAGTATTATGCTCCAAAACTCTGTCTGTCTGAATCCGGAAGTCCCAGAGGAGTTTGGCGTGTTCATTCTCTGTAACTTGTGATCCCGCCAGTTCTTTGTCACAGGCAGATGGTATTTGTGGCACAAGTTCCAATGAATCATCTGAGCAACGGTGTTACCTCTGCTTGTAGTCTGTCTGCGCGATCTTCTTGCAGCAGCTGAGGATGTGATCTATTGTTTCATCTGCTTCCTTGCAGAGTCTACATTTGGGATCTGTTGTCGACTTTTCAATTCTGGCTTTGATGGCATTGGTTCGAATGGCTTGTTCTTAGGCTGCCAGAATCAGGCCCTCCGTCTCCTTTTTCAGAGTTCCATTTGTGAACCACAGCCATGTTTTTTCTTTGTCAATTTGGCTCTCAATTTTTGCCGAAAAATTATTATTATTATTATTATTATTATTATTATTATTATTAATAATAATAATAATAATAATACAAGGGACAAAACCAATCTTAAGAGTCCAATCAAAACTTGGTCACTATCATCTAATTAAATCTTTCACTTGCTTTGATCACTCAACCATTGTAAATCTATTATTTTAGTTTCCACCAAGACTAAGAAGACGTATCGATGGGTGAAAGTCCCAGTGGAAAGGAATCTGCTCATCTCATTGGATTATGGACATTCCTGACAACTACTTCAGCTAAACAGAAGCAAGTTCATACCTGGTTGTATGCAGCGAGAACCTTTTTCTGAACATCCGTTAGAGACCCCAAAGATTCCAGGTAAGGGAAGTTGTCTTTCATACAGAGGACCACTGAAGGAACGTTATCGCTGTTGACAAGCCGTGCAGACATGGACAAAATGCACTGCTTCAAACTGGTAATTGGTGGGAGCCCACAAAGCTCTTTAACAGAGAGAATTGCATTCTGTTGAGAAAAGAAGAAAAATGCATCAGTTTCTACTTGCCGGAGAATATCATCCCAGTTGATTTTATAAAAGTGTGTGAGGATATCAAGAGACAGAGTTAATGGAGGGCAGGTGCAGGGGCTAAAGATCCTGTTCAGGGAGCAAAGACATCAAAGGCTTCATGAAAGACACTCAAGGCTTTGTTGTAGGAACGCCATAGGAGAGTTCTCTAAGGTGCTAAACTACTTACTAGTGAGGCAAAGCTAGTCTTATTTCTGGAAGAAGATGAGAGAGAAGAAAAACAGTGGGAATAGAAGATGTGGGAAAAGGTCAGTAACATCACAGGGACATTCGGATGGGTGAGGAAACCAATGTAACTCTATCACTGCTGCTCTCCGTGACATATTTTTAACTCTTGAGTTACATTTCTAAAACGGTCAATTCTTCATAAGGTTAGGTATCTAAGCCTGATTTGGATGAGCACAAATAGTCAACATAACCAAAAAAATAAATTAAAACTGAACGAATATGTACCAAAAAGACTGAATGGTCTTCAGAGTCCATTTCATCAAAAGCAAAAGTTGTAAAAATTGCTTTTTTGGACCACTTCCCAGACATTCCACAGACAACGCTGGCTTGTGGATCCTGGGATATTCAGTCCAAAAGAGACATTTTTTTTCCTTCATTTCTGGCCATCATATTTAATTATTAATCACAAATTTAAACACATAACACATAGGAATGTGGTTATAATCAAGCTTTCTTGACCTATAAAACCTATACGGCTCCGGTCCAGGTACCTGTCTGAATGTATGTCCTTCTACATCCCACATTGGGGTTTAAGATCTTCTGGAGAGGCCCTGCTCTCAGCCTCACCCTTGTCACAAACGCGGTGGGAATGAGGGACAGGGCCTTCTCGGTGGTGGCCCCCCGCCTGTGGAATTCACTCCCCGGGGAACTTAGGTCATCTTCATCCCTCCTCTCCTTTAGAAGGAAATTAAAAACATGGATGTGGGACCAGGCCTTTGGGTAATCTATGCAGACTTTGACAATGGCAATTAAGACCATTGCTATGGAAATGGATTACGGTCAAGTTTAATGGAGTCTAGAGAATTCGGCGAAACAACACCCACCGGACTGGTGATTTTATTGTATTAACTTTATGTTTTAACTGTTCATAATTATTGTTTTTGATACGTATTTTATTGTGTTTACCTGTAGGCATCAAATATGTACCACCTGGAAGCCACCCTGAGTAAAAATACCCGAAATAAATAAATAAATGAGTATTTATTGAATTATGTTTTATTACAGTGTTATGATTTTATTGATGTTGATGTTTTAAATTGTAATTGTGTTCTTGGTGGCATTGAATTTTGCCTTGTAAACTGCCTCGAGTAGCCAGAAGGCTGAGAGGGGCGGTATATAAATATAGTAAATAAATAATAAATAAATAAAATAATCAATCAAATACTTAGCTTTGTCACTGTAACCCAGGCATGGGCAAACTTCAGCCCTCCAGGTATCCAAGGAGAGGCAGGTGAGCTCCCTCTATCAGCTCCAGTTCCTCATGCAGGGACATGAGAGAAGCCTCCCACAAGGATGATGAAAATATCAAAATCATCCAGGCGTCCCCTGGGCAATGTCCTTGCAGACGGCCAATTCTCTCACACCAGAAGCGACTTGCAGTTTCTCAAGTTGCTCCTGACATGACAAAAAAAAAAGCCCTCCAGGTGTTTTGGACTTCAGCTCCCACAGTTCCTAACAACCAGTAGGCTGTTAGGAATTGTGGGAGTTGAAGTCCAAAAAACCAGAGGGCTGAAGTTTGCCCATGCCTGTTGTAACCCATCAAGCTGAACACAGTCCACCAGTTTGACAGGCAATTCACTCATGGTCAGGGGTGCTTTGGTTGTGTTTTGTGTGCTTTGGTTGTGTGATCCTGCATGGCAGGGGTTTGAACTGGACAGCCTTTGGGGTCTCTTCTAATTCTATGATTCTGTAGTACAAGTTACACAGGCCTCTTCCAGTTCAAGAATTATACAATTTATAACTGATCCACTGCCCAGCACAAGTATTAAACTCTTATCTCACTTCTGTCAATGGCTGAATACCAATTTGCTGTTCATAACAAGTTCAGTGCTCATGGATTTGGACAACATTCCATAACAGACACTGGTAATGAGAAGGCCACCTGGATCACGTCCATCCAAAGATGATATAAACTGGCAAGAACCTGCCTTCTGCTACACCCAATTATAATCCAAGTAGAGCAGAAAATGAATGGAACATCTGTGCGTATGGAGCTGATTATAGTTTGCAAAAGTGGAAGAAGCAACTCTCTATAATTTGGTATTATGAACATTTATTTCACATGTAGGATTTGTCCTTCTTTGTCCAAGCATATTAGCCAAACACTTCCCAATAAAAAAGCCAAGATGAGAAACTATCAAATTGATTGCTTTTCCTACAAACATCGAGAGTTTTTCCATCTAAATGCACATCTTGCAACTGCGAACAGTTTTGCATTAGTTATAATCTGACTTTTAAGATGTGTAAAAAATCAAGAGTTCACACTTCTTATCCCTTGCTTACAAATTATGTTGCGGACAAAATTTGTGTCAGTACAGGAAATGTACAATATTTTCTCCTGGTAGAAAAAAAAAGCTCCACCAACACCATTAAAACGCCTTTTCTCTATCATATCTTTAAATGAATGATGGATGGGCATTATGTTCTTTTCTGCTGATGCTTTTACAAAGCACGGACTGAGTAACTCAGAAGTAGTTGGAATTTTTTTTGGGGGGGGGGGGGTTGGAACACCTGTATATAGTGTATATCTTAGAGATGGGACTCAAATCTAAACACAAAATCCCTTTATGTTTCATGTATCCTCTTGTACACATAACCTGAAAGTAATTTTGTACAAATATTTTCATAATTTTCTGCATGAAACAAATTTTGTGGACATTGAACTACCAGGAAGTAAAGATAACTCTTATCTCAAACACCTATGTGGAAAAGTTTGGAGTATTCTAGATTTTGGGATTCCAGTTAAGGAATGCTCAACCAATACTTCCAAGTCCCTGAGTAAATGGGATTGGGTCCTCAAAGAAGATAACAGTGCAAAGAAGGTCAACGCTGTAATTTTCTTCCTGTCAATCAAGGGGTAAGCTCTGCTGGATTCAACAGGACTTACTCCCAGATGTAGAAGTACAAAATTGTCTGCAATAAGTTAACATTTTCTACCATGCAAAAACAAATAAAGAGGAAATGATGTCATATGTGGGTTTTTGCTGTGAAGGGACCACAATGGGCTCTAGCATGCATTTGATATTGACCTGGGTCATCAGGACTGTGCAGTACATATACCTGTCTATACACACTGTATATACGAAGTCATGTGTCATCCAATGCATACACACATACATTTGTATGGACTTGCTTCTGATTCCTGCAATCCTTCCTCCCAGAAAGGGGTGAAGTGGGGTGGTGGAGAGAAGGATCATAGGAACTGGACATATGTGTACAAATGCATGGTATGAGTCACACATGATGATGTACATGCAGTGTGTACCATGAGTGTGAAACCAATTGCCCCATCACCTGAAGAAGACCATCTCTTTTGAAAACTGCATGTACTGGCTCATGCCCATTGTTGCAGAGAAATCCAGAAGAACAAGGACAACAGCATGGTGGAAGTTGAGAACTTCCAACTACAAGGGAAGCAAAGGACATCTTAACATTAGGGTCAGATCATTGGCACTTGAGCAACAGGGTCTCGCAGAACGTGTGCCACAAAGTGAACTACAATATTGTTTACTAATGGAGTGCTGTGCCATTTGCTAGAAAAGACACACCCCAAATTACCAAAATATCATTAGAAGTGCTAATGAGTTTAAGTTTGTTAAATCGAATTATATATAAAAAGGGGGGGGGACGAAACCAAATATTACATTACCTGTATGTTCTCTCTCATGTCAGTTGCTTCTCTTAACGGATGGACTGCTAATTTGAAGATGTCATCCAGAATCTTTAGGCCTGTATTCCTCAGCATAGTATAGTCTCTTGTTTTCATCCCTATTCTTGCAGTCAGGCCACGCTTTTGTGTCTTCCCTCCTCCACGTCGATTTGTTATGGCAATGTGCACAAAAAGTGTAACGTGCTCCATGACGTCTCCCACAAAAGAGCGTAGAGGGATATGTCTATAGCCAGGCTGCAAACACTCTAGAGGGATGGCACATTGACCTATGAACTCGTCGCCAATATAATCATCATCCAACACGACAAACCGCATCATAGCAAGCTCTGGCAGATTTATCTCAAACTCAAAACTCTCGTCAAAAATGGGGTTATCACTGTTCTGCTGTACAGTTTTAGTTCTCTGCTCTGTACAATCCGCAGGAATACCATGGATTTCTAGACAAACATAGGGATCTATGACATCCCCTTTGGCACAAGCACCTTTGGGCTTTGGAAAATTCTGGCCGCTGATGATTTTGACATGTAGGACTTGAGGGGAAACCCCTGGGACTATGCCTTTTGTATTTGCGCTGAAGTAAGAAATCTCTTCCCGCATAACGGAAGGTCTCAGGACATAACCACATCCCCCGTTTTGTAAAAACCAGCCCGTATGTAAATCCATCATGGGTCCTGGTGTTTGATAGTTCATTGCTACTATCTGGCAGCCACAGTTCCAGAAATCTTGAGGATTTAGGTTACTAGAATCTATTCTCATGGGACTCGGGTATATCCGAGACAGAAATTTCTTATTATAATTTACAAAGTCCTCTGGACACTCATTTGCAATTCGACTGGCTTCAGCTTCACTGAAGGAACAGAATTCCCAGTAATTTTGGTTTTTCATAGAGCTCTCAAAATCTGTGAACTGGACAGATTTACATATAGAGACAAGATCAGACAGTTCCTTGCACAACCAGGATCTCTTAGGTAACACCTCAGACACTTCAGACATTCTTCGAGATACTTCGGCCTCTTCGTCTTCATCACTGACTTCTCCCTCTAATAAATCTTCACCCGAAGGTAGTTTCTTTCCTTTCACAATGATTTTCTTTTTCAGTTTTTCTGGAGAGGGAAGGTATGTCTCCGATGGGAATGGTGCGTCAGTGTACAACTTGGTTCCAAAGGTCTTCTTCATTTGTTTAACCATGACTTTCTGCTGCTGTATAGAGCAGTGGTTTTCCAAACAGAGAATAAGAGGATACTCTGATGAAACGAAGGCTAATTTGTTGATCACATCAATGACACATTGAAAGGACAGAGGTGACGTCATGCTGTTACGATTACAGATTATGGGCTCCTTGTCTGGTCCATCACAAACATCAAGTTCAATACTTCTACAGTTCATCTTCAGTGCTCTGACATAGCCATTGATATCTGCCGGCCCTCGGACCTGGTCTTCTATCAGGTAGGTATTGTGAGATGAATTGATATAGTAATGTGATAAAGGCTGGGTCATGTCTTGGACAACCTTTTTATGTGTGGGATCAAAAATTTCACATTCTGGGGACAACAAATATTGAGTAAATCCATCAATTGCAAGGAAACCCTTCAACTGCCCTTCCTCTGAAAATTCATATCTACGAATAATATCAAGACACATTTCTTCAGTTATATTTGTGACCCCTTGCTCAGCTTCTAAAAAAAGCATGAGGTCATTGGCATCTAAGTATTCCTTGTTTTTGGATATCTGCACCAGCAAAAAATAAACATCAGGTCTAGTGCAAAGCTCAGTGTATGCTTCACAAAATTCCTCTTTTGTTACACGAGTTGTTAGCTTCTCTTTGCTCTTCTGGATTTCCTTAAATTTTAACCTGATTTTTGACTCCTTTAAGGCAGAGTTCAGCTGTTTTATTAATTCCACAGCTGTATCTTCTAACATGATCCCATTGCCATCAACATCTGCAGCTTCAAACACAGATTTAAGCCACACAAATCGTGGAGTATTCTGACTACCTTCTATTAAATCCAGACATTGCTTGCTTCGGGAAACCAAGTACCTCAAACCTGATACCCAAATGTTGGCCACATCTGCTGAATTGGCAACCAAGTCCAGAGAGTTATAATTCCCCCCATGTATTATGGAAAAGGCACAGTCTTCAGAAATCTGATCCGCCAGACTATTGTTTCTGAATGTTTCAGTGTTTTTACCCAATCGGATTTCTTTTACAGCAGAAATATCAAGTTTAGCCTTGTCAGGATCCTTTTTTGATGGCTCCCAACGTAGTGCTTGTAAGTCAGGGTCAAGAGTAAAAAATCGATTATAAATACGAGAATTTGGCCGGACTTTCTTCAGTTCACAACCCGCTTGCATGAAGCTGATGCAGTCATTTGCACTGCTGATTTTCTTCTCCGATGGCATGCTGCTGAAGGAGACGGTTTTCTTCTGCCCACATTTTTGGTTTGCAGGGTCCTGTAAAGCAATTAAATATAGTATATTAACTATTTATGATTGAGTGAAAGTCATACACATTATATAAAAAGTAGAAATGCAATTACTATTTTGAACGATTAGAATACATGGATGCTATTTTGTACATGTATAGGCTATAATATGCAGTCTTCAGTTATCATGAATTTATCTATAGTTTACTGTAGCACAACAGTATATGGCTGTGCAGCATTAGATTCATCTTTCACACTGTGAACTTTGTTCATTACCTGCTGTCCCCTGTCTGTATATATGTGTTTTGTGTGTGTATATATGTGTGTGTGTATATTTGTGTATATATGTGGTTTTATGCATGTATTGTAATGTAATTTTTTTGGCTTTTAAAGTCTCTTCCACTGTGTTTTCCAGTGTTTTTATGAGTGATGGTCACTTGTTAGCCTGATAGGTGTATTGTGTCCAAATTTGGTGTCAATTCGCCTTGTGGTCTTTGAGTTATGTTAATCCCACAAACGAACATTACATTTTTCTTTATATAGACTTCCTATTAAAATCAATGGGACTCATATGCATGCTTAACTATGTGCCTAATAGTAACCAGTGACCAAATATTCCACAGCAGCAAAGTGAAGTGAAGCTAATTTTAATATGAGCAGTCATTGACTCCCACCTCAATTTTATTCTGAGTCAAGTTCTACAAAATCATTAAGTCGAGTGTACAAATGGAAGTCTTTCTAGCTGCATGGCTGGATCAAAATTCATCTTATGGACCAGTTTGTCTATTTGTAATGCACTGACAGACTGTGTCCACTCATCAAAGGTATGAACAACATTGACAGAAATTATATCACCTCCCACATCTACGTATCTCCCAAACATGCTCTAGCAAATTAGAAAACCATCTCAAAATGAGGTGATGGGTGCATGAAGGATGCAAGGGGAGAGAGGAGGAGAAAGTCTTGCTGTACAGACAAATGTTCCTTGCATGGCACTGACTTGAATTCCAAATACCAGAACCACAATTCTTATTGTGGTAGCAAAGTATCTCACAGTGCAGTCCTATATACTTCCTGATCAGAGGTACATTTCCTGAATTCAATGGAGCTTACTACCAGGCTAGATGTCAACAGGATCATAGTTGACCGCATCTCTATACATGAACCCACACAATCACTCCGTTCATCTGGAGAGGCCCTGCTCACGATCCCTTCTGCATTGCAAGCATGTTTGGTGGGGATGAGGGACAGGGCCTTCTCTGTGGTGGCCCTCCGACTCTGGAACTCTCTCCCCAAGGACATCAGACAAGCCCCAACGTTGGCAGTCTTTAGGAAGAGCTTGAAGACCTGGCTGTTCCAGTGTACCTTTCCAGAATAGGAAGCTCCCAGCATCATGTCCCAAACACACTTTATTAGAGATTTAAGATTGCCTGCACATCGCACCTACCCTAAAATCCTTACATTTACCTGTCATGTCCAGCACTTTTAATTTTTATTCATTACATTTGGCCCGGCCCTAGTTTTAACTGTGTCATGATGTTATTGTTTAATGTTTTATTGTTTATTGCTTAATGTTTATTGGTTGCTTGGGTTTTATTGTGTATTTGTTAGGCTGTTGTTTTATTGAGGGCCTTGGCCTATGTAAGCCGCACCGAGTCCTTCGGGAGATGTTAGCAGGGTACAAATAAAGTTAATAATAATAATAATAAATAATCATAGTCTTAAACAAATCTAGAAATAATACTATTTAAACAATACTATTTAAACAATGGTATTAAAATGAAACCAACAATAGAGTGCCAAGTTGCAAGATTCTACCACGGCCAGCAGTTTCACCCTAGAAACAGTTTCACCAAGTTGCAAGATTCTACCACTACCAGCAGTTTCACCCTAAATACAAACACCCATTTAAAAAGACTGCTCATTGTACAATAACAACAGCTAGAAGTTTTGTTCCAGTGTGATTGAAACTTACTTCACACATTGTTGTAAAGTGGCTACTGTGTAAGAAGCAGCCCATTAACAAATTATAATGTGGGTTGGATGAGTACAGGAATTGGTGCATATACATGGTTTGCATGTAATGACCATGTAGAGCAGTGGTTCTTAACATGTGGGTTCCCAGGTGACTTGGCCGACAACTCCCAGAAATCCCAGCCAGTTTACCAGCTGTTAGGATTTCTGGGAGTTGAAGGCCAAAGCATCTGGGGACCCACAGGTTGAGAACCACTGATGTAGAGGCTTGAATCTAATGTCAATAGCTAAATGTGATAAGACATGAAAGCATTGAATGGCATGAAAGATTATGGCGAAATGCCTGGCAAGCCAATGGTAAGCTGTTTCAGAATGTCCATTCATTCCTTAACAGTCTCTGGGTAGCAACTCTATGTTTCAGAATGGTCAGCAGCTGTTGAATCATTAAGGTGGGAAGATGGAGAAAAATAAGATATTCCTTCCTCCCATCTCCAATTTAAAATATTTCCAAACTTTTTTTTAACCAAAAAAAGAGAGAGAGAGAAGAATACATCCAGAAATTGTTAACATCATGAGGACAATGCAGGCTAGGAATTTCTTCAGCAAGGGCTTGGTCAAAGCACACAGAAATAACCACAAAACCAATGAAATGAGATATAGATATACACAGAAAATGTCAGTGGGTACGAAGTGGGATTTAAAAACTAGGTGGGACAGAGCATAGGTAAGACTTGTTCCAGATATTGTTCAAATGCATGCTTCTGGCATTCATCACCAATGGTTATATTGACCAGGGGTCCTCAAATTACTACGGCCTGGGGGCGGGATATGGACCTCCAAGGTCATTTACCCAACCTTTGCTCAGGGTCAACCTAAGTCTTAAACGACTTGAAAGCACACAACAACAACAACAACAACAACAACAACAACCCTATCTCATCAGCTAAAAACAGGCCAACACTTCCCATTAAAATACTAATAAGTTTATATTTATTAAAATTGTTCTTCATTTTAATTATTGTATTGTTTTTAAGTGTGTTTTGCGGTACAAATAAGTTATGTGCAGTGTGCATAGGAATTCATTCATATTTTTTTCCAAATTATAATCCAGCCCTCCTACAGTTTGAGAGACTGAGATCGAGTCCTCTGTTTAAAAAGTTTGTGGACCTCTGATATTGACTAAGGTTGCTAGGACTTGTAATCGAATAATATCTGAATGTATCCACTGGAGATACAGTAGAGATAGAGAAAAAACTAAACCTCTACAAGTTAAAAGCGCACAGAAAATGATGCACTAACATGGAGAAATTCACATACTGTATATACTCGAGCATAAGCCGACCCAAATATAAGCCGAGACACCTGATTTTACAACAACTGGGAAAACTTATTGACTCGAGTATAAGTCAAGGATGGGAAATGCAGCAGCTATGGGTCAGTTTCAAAATAAAAATAGATACCAATAAAATTACATTACTTGAGTCATCAGTAGGTTGACTGTTTATTACTATTCCAACTCTGACTAAACCAGTATTCTAACCTTCTTCAATGTACATGTATTTACATATCCTTCCAATAATAATAGAGTAAAATAATAAATGTAATAATAATAAGAATAATAAAGCTAACCTATAAATGTAATAACAACAACAACAACAACAATAACAACAACAATAGAGTAAAATAATAAATAAACCTTGACTCGAGTGGGATGGGCATCCCAAGCCACCTTGTCTCTCTCCTGAGGAATCTGTACAAGGACCAAGTAGCAACAGTAAGAACTGACCAGGAACAACAGACTGGTTCAAGATTGGGAAAGGCGTACGGCAAGGCTGCATACTCTCACCCAGCCTTTTTAACTTGTATGCAGAACACATCATGCGATGTGCGGGGCTTGATGAATGCAAAGCTGGGGTAAAAATTGCTGGAAGAAACATTAACAACCTCAGATATGCAGATGACACCACTCTGATGGCCGAAAGCGAGGAGGAGCTGAGGAGCCTTCTAATCAAGGTGAAAGAAGAAAGCGCAAAAGCTGGGTTGCAGCTAAACATAAAAAAAACCAAGATTATGGCAACAAGAATGATTGACAACTGGGAAATAGAGGGAGAAAATGTGGAGGCCGTGACAGACTTTGTATTTCTAGGCGCAAAGATTGCTGCAGATGCAGACTGTGGCCAGGAAATCAGAAGACGCTTACTTCTTGGGAGGAGAGCAATGTCCAGTCTCGATAAAATAGTAAAGAGTAGAGACATCAGACTGGCAACAAAGATCCGCCTAGTCAAAGCCATGGTATTCCCTGTAGTAACCTACGGATGTGAGAGCTGGACCTTAGGGAAGGCTGAGCGAAGGAAGATAGATGCTTTTGCTGTGGTGCTGGAGGAAAGTTCTGAGAGTGCCTTGGACTGCGAGAAGATCCAACCAGTCCATCCTCCAGGAAATAAAGCCCGGCTGCTCACTGGAGGGAATGATACTAGAGACAAAGTTGAAGTCCTTTGGCCACATCATGAGGAGACAGCAAAGCCTAGAGAAGACAATTATGCTGGGGAAAGTGGAAGGAAAGGAAGAGGGGCCGACCAAGGGCAAGATGGATGGATGGCATCCTTGAAGTGACTGGACTGACCTTGAAGGAGCTGGGGGTGGTGACGGCCGACAGGGAGCTCTGGCGTGGGCTGGTCCATGAGGTCACGAAGAGTCGGAGACGACTGAACGAATGAACAACAACAACTTGACTCGAGTATAAGCCGAGGGGAGCTTTTTCAGCCTAAAAAAAGGGCTGAAAAACTAGGTTTATACTCGAGTATATACAGTATATTTTCAGACTCTTCTACCGACCCATGCTCTTTCCCATAATTCTTAAGCAGTGCTTCCCAAGCCAGGGTCAAAAGATGCTGTTATCTCTCAACTTCCAGAAGCCTCAGCCAACAAAGCCAATGTTCAGAGATTCTCTGAGTTGTATGCCAGCATTATCTGAGAACTCAAAATGGAGTCCATCATCCGAAATTCAAACATGTGTTTCTTTTCCACCAAAAATTAGTTTCCTCCCATATTACC